AGAGAGAGAGAGAGAGAGAGAGAGAGAGAGAGAGAGAGAGAGAGAGAGAGAGAGAGAGAGAGAACGCACCGGAGCAGATCATTCTTAGAATGACATGAGAGGTCAGTCAGTATTCAGGCTGCTGGAGATTTTGTGTTAGGGAGTACCCATGGGCTATGGTAAGGGTCCACCCCTACAAAGCAGACAGCACCGGTTCGGGTGTGGACTGTGGAAGCATCGCATCCAAGTCTTGCAGTCGCAGTTGCTGCAGCGAATGGCTCAGCATAGGCAGATGTCACAGGCCACGTGGCTCCCACATGCTAGGAACACAGAGGCATGTGTGCATGTGTGTGTGTGTGTGTGTGTGTGTGTGTGTGTGTGTGTGTGTGTGTGTGTGTGTGTGTTTGTGTGTGTTTAAGTTCTCCTGCCCAGCAATGCCGCAGAGTCTGATCACCCGAAGTGTGTTCATTGGCCATCGCCAGGTAAGGTCGCCTGTTCGCGGTGATGTCCTTTTTCCCTAATCACCCCAGCACCAGTGCCCCCACTTCCAAACTTGGTGCAGCTATGGGTGCCACCAAGCAGGAGCAGCTGACCGTCGCTGCTCCTCCCTCCTTCGTCAAAGCACAGGGGCCCAGCCGCGCGCACTTGCACAATGCTGGCGCAGCAAGCAGTGCCTCCAAATGTGTGGAATGCTGTGGCCTTACTTCCATCCGTTTCCTTCTGCCGACTGCATCTGCCAGGCTGGAACTGGGCGCTGCCCAGTCTGGGAATCCTCCAAGACTGGACAATCAGTTTTATGTCTGTCTGTTTTCCTCTTGTTGTCTGGTCTCCCTCTGAGTTTTTCTAAGTAGTTTACTCACCCATCTGAGGACTCTTAAGTAGTGCCAAACAGTCGGTGGTTCTTCATTTGGAGTGCCTACTGCACTCTTAGGGGGCTGCCCAATTTGGGATGTCTGTGTTGCCTGTGGGTGATGACGGATGCTTGTCGGAGTGACTCCCTGGCTCAGTGGGTGGTGGGAACCAACAGTCTGCGGTGTTCAATCATGATGTGAGTAGGTGATGTGCTGCTTTGCTCTGTGGTAGATGTGTGGACTGCCTCGTCTGCGCTCTGCCACTGCCTAGCTGCCTGTCCTGCTTGCTTCGCATGTGGTTCTCTGCAATTTGCTGTGTTCGCTGTGTGGTGTGGCCGTGTTGCTGGTGTTGCCTTCCGCTTCGTTGCTCCGCTGCCTTGCCACTCATCCGCTGGTCGTGCCTTCCGTGTTTGTTGCTTGCGAGCCTTGTAGTTCACTTGCCTTGTAGGTGCTGCCTTGTGCTCCACTGCACTCGACCACTAGCGTTGTTGCCTTGTTGGGGTTGCCTTGGTGGTGTTGCCTTGTGCTTCACGGTGTGGTTGCCGCACTGTTTGTCCTGCGCGCTGTGTCATTCCTTGCAGCCGTTTGTGGCGTTGTGCAGCCGTGTTGCCTCTACTGCGTTACCTGGTGCTCCGCAGGTTGCTGCCCGCTGCAGTGTTCCGTTTGGGGGACAGTCTGCCTTCAACAAGAGTCAAAGGGTTCATGATCCAAACCATCCAATACAAAGACTCCACAGATTGTCGAGGGTTCAGCCTCCTGATGAGTCAGTGCAACTCCGAAGAAAGAATCTTTCATCATCAGCCTTTAATTTTTTTTTTGGGTCTGTGTTTCTTGCCTTGTGCTGTTTGTCTGCCCACCCTCCTCACCTCTACCCTCCAGCCTATCCTTTGCTGTTTACTTTTCTTCTGGTCGCTTTGCTGTTTTTCGATACTTGTACTTGTGCCCTCCCGCCTCCCCCATGCGCTTCAGCCTATGTGCTGCCTCACTGTTTGTTCCTCCTCTCATAGTTCATCGTGTTGTGGTTTGTCATCATATGGTGTTGGTTCCCTGGCCTTTGCCTCGCTATCCTTTGCCTTCCCCCCATCCCCCCGTTTGTTTGTGAGGTGTTTTTGTGTGTGTTCTGGTCTGTCTGAAAATGGTGTCTGAAGCATTGATCCTACTCTCATCACTCGACATAGTCTTCCCCTACCTTCCACTGTTGGATGCATCTGTCCCATGTCGAATCCGTGTACTGCAGTTGAAGAGTAGATGCTACTTGTAGAGTCCGGTTTAGAATTCCCTACCTTCCACTACTGGATGCGTCTGTCCCGCGCTTATGAACTTTTTTTGTCGACCTTTTGCTGCAGGGAACGTCACTCCTGCTTTGTCTCATTATTCAAGGTGGGTCAACATGGTTTGTCAGAGCTGTGCGGGTATGAGTAATGATGTATACTTGTAGAGTCCGGTTTAGAATTCCCTACCTTCCACTACTGGATGCGTCTGTCCCGCGCCTATGAACTTTTTTTGTCGACCTTTTGCTGCAGGGAACGTCACTCCTGCTTTGTCTCATTATTCAAGGTGGGTCGACATGGTTTGTCAGAGCTGTGCGGGTATGAGTAATGATGTATCGTATCTCGCGCACCTTGGAATACAGACCTCTCAAACACACACACACACACACACACACAGAGAGAGAGAGAGAGAGAGAGAGAGAGAGAGAGAGAGAGAGAGAGAGA